AGTTGAATTCTTGCAACGAATTTTTATTAATTTTTTTTTTTTAAATAATCGAAATTCTGTAAAGAATTGTATTATTTATGAAAATAATTGAATTCTTGCATCGCGTTTTCTTACATTTTTTTTAAAATTGAATTCATTTAAGTAATTTCATTAAAAAAATAAATTTGGAAAATATTTGAGTTTCAGCGAAGAATTTCATTATTTGTGAAATGTAATTGAATTCTTGCAAAATTTTTTTTTAAAATAATTACATTTTTTGAATAATTCATTTAAAATTGTATTAAAAATAATTGAAATCCTATGAAAAATTTTATTATTCATGAAAATAATTGAATTCATGTAAAAAATTTTATTACTTGTAAAAATAATTAAATTCTTGGGAAAGATTTTATTAAAAATTTTGTGAATAATTTAATTTTTTTCTGAAAAATTTTATGGAAATTTAAATTATTACAAAACATGAAGATATCAATAACTCCGAGTCTTCGACTCGGAGTGATCAATATCTTCATGTTTTATAATAATATTCTTATAAGTTGTTTAATTTCATAAAGGTTTGAATTTGAAATTTTTTGAAAATCTTAATTACTATAATGGAATAATAATGATGATTAAATATTTATTTAAAAAAGAATTTATTGGTGTTATTTATTGGTTTATTGTTATTTATTGGATTAATTTTATAATTAAAAATATTCGTAATTAAATGTAATAGAACAGTTTTTTGAGTATCTAATAATTTTTAGAGTGAATCAGAATATTCTTTAGGAAATTGCAAACAAGCTTATTATTAGACTCTAATCATAAATAGAAATGTTAAAATAATATTAAAATATAATCAATCAATCAATCTAAAAGTGACGTATTGAATCTTCCTAATTTATTTAGAACTAGTTCAAGGAAACTTAATACACAAAAAATTAATTTGAGGGAAGAAAAAATAAGTAGTAAAGATCAAATTAGGTCAGCCCCAAAGTACTAAATTCTTGAAATTCTAATACAAGTAGTAACATTAGAGTTTGATCAGACAAATAAAATTTAAATTCTCCTCATTTAAATTCAAGTAGTAGAAGTCAATTTTGGTCAGACTAATCTTAAAGCCTTGGATAAAATTAAAGCTGATTCAGTCGAAGAAAATAAAGAATTACTTTTATTCTTTAATATAATATTTATTCAAATCTCTCAAGCATTTATTTTTCTAATAGCAGTAATTTTAATATAATAATAAATTTTTTTCTATACATTACATTAATATATATGTACATAAATATCATTACAAGAGAAACATCTTGTGTAATGTAGTTTCAATGAACTCATAGTGTTGACTGATTTGCATTCTCACTTGCTGATCTTTTGTTGCTTGAAACAAAGCATGACAGTTGTATTGTTGCAATTGTTTCCACAGCAGTTTCTCGTTATAGAATCCATCTGAACGTACACGAGAGCAAAATCATTCGAAAAAAACAAAAGCAAAGTTCAATTCAGTCTGCGGTATGTTACGGTGATTCCAAAAAAAAAAAAAAAAAAGAAATTTTTGTTTTAATTCATAATACTGAAAATGTTGGTGAATGATGTCATATTGTCTGTTGAATTTTTTTTCTCTCTTTTTTTATTATTGTTTATGAAACTTAAATTAATTGAAAAAGTATTGTAAACAAGAGTTGTTGAATTAAATTTGTAAAACAAAATTTTCAGTAAAACATTTTTGTTTATATATTTTTTCGATAGGAGATAAAAAAATGTTTATGTCGAAAAAGGAAAGTTTGTATTTTTTTTTTTTTTGAAATGCGAAAATTAAAAGGAAAATCAATTTCACTTTATTAACGCGACTAATAGTGATTTGTATTCTACAATTATGTCAACCTTCTCGAACTTTCAGCGGCATAAATCAAGTTGATCTGCATTGTAAAATTTCCCCTTCACAATTTTTTATCGCATTTCATTGGCCTGAAATGGCTTGAAATTAAAGGGAATATTAAAATTGTCCAGCGTTTAATTTCAAACAATATCTAAAGAAATTAAAAACTATTGCATTTTTTATTTCCATAATTCTAAAATTTCCCATTTACTAATTTTAAATTAAATTCAAATTTTTTCCCCGTAATTTTAATTATTCTTCCGAAAAATATTAAATAATACCAACTCAAGAATTTAGCAAGAAAAAAAGTTTAAATTACCTTTTTAATTACAATAGAAATATTAATTTTTTTTTGTTTGTAATATTAATTACTTTTTCGAGAAAAAAAATCAGAAAATTGAAAGAAAGAAAACAGTTTAAATTAATTTTTTTATTTATTACACAGAAATGAAAATATTAACAATACATGAATTGTAAAGAGAAAAATAGCCTTACAAACCTATCGATTTGTTACACACAATAAAAACCTCTCAAAGAATGATAGGTAAGCAAAAAGGGTAAAGAAGCTTTCATGCAATTTGTGACCTTTGTTGAAAAGTTTCGGTGAAGGTCTCTTATTCCATATAATCGACAAAGCGGCAAGAGAAGATTCATTAAAAATAATTGGATACCAATGTAAAAAAGCCATGAGACGACTTTTTAAAAAATAAAGTGCAATCGAATTGCTCACGGGCTTCACATGAGATAAAAAAAGTGCTCTGAAATGAGACAAAAAAAAATTGTTAAAAAGATTGGAAAAAAATTTTATAGCAGAAAAAAAATATATTGTTTCATTAACAAATGTTGTAAATTTTTTTTTCATATATCACCAATTTGCAGAATATATACGATTACTGTGGTGGTGTGATGACAAATTTTTTTTTTTTGCCTTTTTTTGTCACTATTTTATGCAACTGTCACTGTATCACGATTTGAGAAAAAAAATTGGTTCAGTTTGTTTTGTATTGAAAAATAAAATTTTATTTTAAATCAAGTCTTTTTTTTTAGGAGAAAAAATTGAATTAGGTATAATGTCTGACTAAACGTGATTTTACTACTGATGACATGGATTTTTTCGAACTAGAGGGAAAGAAATGATTTTAATGGCAAATTGTCAGTAGTGAAATCAATTTTTAGTCAGACGAGAAACGCACTGAATTCTTTTTTATAATTTCGTCACATTTCATCACACGATTTGTCCGACTAAAGTAAGGCTTTTCTACTTGTATAAGAACAAAAATTGACCAGATGGAAAGAATTAAATTTTTCTAATTTTTGTTCAAGTAGTAGATATCAATTATGATCAGACAGATGATATCGTAAGTAAATTAAAGAGATTTAATTATGTATAATGTCTGACTAAATTTGATTTTACTACTGACGACATGAATTTTTTGCAGTGGGGGATGAAAATGCTTTTATTGTCAAATTGCTGTTTATTTTAAAAACGAACTTTTCCTTAAAATTAACTTTCTTATGCTTTTGACATGATAAGATTTAGACATTTAAAAGATTATTTTCTTATTAATAGATATATATTTTTTATTCTTTAAAGAAACATTTTTTTATACTTCGGGTTTAAATCAAACTAATTTCCTGAAAATTTTATGTTTAATGTAAAAATATTTTTTATCCATTCAAAACTTTTTTAAATTTGATATTTTTGCAGAAAAGCAACATTTTTCCAATAAAAAGAATTTAATTTTAAAGACATCTCGTATTTTGAAATCAAGTAGTAGAGAACAATGTTGGTCAGACTTTTCGTGAGAAATGAAAAAATTAGTAGTAAATGTCTGATATGGTCAGCCAAGAAGAAATTAATTATTTTAATTTAAAGACAAGTAGTAATATTACTAACAACAGTTAGTAACAGAAGATAAAGTTCGCTCAAAAAATAATCCTTTCATTTTCTGCTGATTATCGACTGTGGTTAGTTTTTAAGAAATGTAAAGTAAATTAATTTTGATGACCTAAATATTAATTAAAATTGTTCTGTCAATAGTTCGGGATCAGTAAACAATTTTTGTACTAGCAAACAGTAAACAGTAAACAGAAGATAAAGTTCTTTTAAAAATAATTTTTTATCTTCTGCTGATTATCGGCTGTGGTTACTTTTTATGAATTGTGAATTAAATTAATTTTTATGACCCAGATATTAATTGAAATTGTTCTAGTAATAATTTAGAACCAGTAGAAAATTTTATGACCAAAAATTCTTAGTAAACAGAAGAAAAAGTTCGCTCAAAAATAATGTTTCATCTTCTGCTGATTATCGGCTGTGGTTACTTTTTATGAATTGTGAATTAAATTAATTTTTATGACCCAGATATTAATTGGAAGTGTTCTAGCAATAACTTAGTAAGTAGTAAATGTTAATTTTAGTCAGACAAATGTTATCGTTAAATAATTGGAATTATTTTCAGTAGTATTTTCTACTTTGGGTCTAACAAGATATATATTTAATAATTGCACATTCAAGATTCAGTAGTAGAGTCAATTACTCGTCAGACAATTTTCTTTTTTTTTATAATTATAATACAAGTAGTACAAATTAAATTATATTCTGTCAGACATAATTCTTTTAATGCTGATACAAGTAAGTAGTAATATCAATATGTAGTCAGACATAAAGTTACTACTGAATGTATTTGTAAAATTTACTAATTCTAAAGCAAAAAATCAGTCAATTCGAATTAGTTTTATTTGTTAACAAATTGAAATTTCGAACAATACAATAGTTTCAAAATAAAAATATTATGATTTAATATAATTTTTGACGGCAACAATTGTATTGTATGAATGAATAATGTGGGATTTCTGCTTACGTGAATGTAATATTGAACGTGAATTTATCAAGCTTCCGCGTTTAATGTAATTACTGTTATGGAATCGTTTTATTGTGAATGAGGGCACAACTCTCCCTTTAAGTGGTTAACTATGTGTGCATGTGTGAGTGAGTGCGAGTATTAGGGTTGAGGTGAAGTGGGGTGGGGTGGGGGGGGGTATTGAATTTCTAGATACCTTAGTTAGACGCGCGTTATATATGGAGAATCTGCGATAGGTAATTGTTAATTAGCGGTAAAGGAAGAGCATATATACGCACTTGCAATAGTACGGCTGGTGGCATTACTGCCAAACCAACCAATAAATCCGCAGCTGCCAGACTGGACACGAAACAATTAGTGACGGACCGCAGTCGCCTGGTCGTAATTACTGCAGCGATTACGAGCGTGTTTCCGACCTAGAATAAAAAATCAAAGGTTTCACATATGATTCATTTTTTATAAATTGCTAGATATAGGAGGACTTTTGTGTTTTCTTATAAATTGTCTCTTGGAAAATTAGGAAAAAATTATGTATATATAATTTTTTTTGGCATGCAGTTTTTTCTAAGTATAGTAAATTGAGACAAAAAACGTATCAAAATAGTTGCTTCGCAACTATTATTTTATTACGTTTTTTGTCTCAATTTGATATCCTTAGAAAAACTGTGGCATATATTTGTATTGAGAAGGTTATTCATTAATATTTCTCACTGTCATTCCAGGTGAAATTTTAATTCAATTTTTTTTATCGGAAATCAGTAGTAAATGTCGGAAATTGTCAGACAAAACGTATGCAGCCTTATGATTCAAAAGCAAGTAGTGATATTAATATTTGGTCAGACATAAAAAATTCTACTTTAAAAGCAAGTAGTAGAAAACAATTTTGGTCAGACTTATCTTTAGAAATGGAAAAATTAGTAGTAAATGTCTGATATTGGTCAGCCAAAACGTATTTAATTTTTACATTTTTTATTTAAGTAGTTATATTAATTTTTGGTCAGACATAAAGTATTCTATTTTGAAAACAAGTAGTAGAGAACAATTTTGGTCAGACTTTTCATTGAGAAATAAAAAAATCAGTATTAAATGTCTGATATGGTCAGCCAAACGTATTTAATTTGATCAGCCATAAAGTATTCTATTTTGAAAACAAGTAGTATAGGAAAATTTTGGTCAGACTTTCTTTTAAGAAATAAAAAAATTTGTAGTAAATCTCTAATATGGTCAGCCAAACGTATTTAATTCTTAAATTTTTAATTTGAAGCAGTAATATTAATATTTCGGCAGACATAAATTATTCTATTTTGAAAACTAGTAGTAGAGGACAATTTTGGTCAGACTCTTTTTAAGAAATGAAAAAAATTAGTAGTAAATGTCTGATATTGTCAACCAAACGTATTTAATTCTTAAAATGTTAATTCAAGTAGAAAAATTCATTTTTGGTCAGACATAAAGTATTCTATTTTGAAAACAAGTAGTAGAGATTAATTTTGGTCAGACTTTTCTTGAGAAATGAAAAAATCAGTAGTAACTATCTTATTTGGTCAGCCATGACGTATTTAATTCCTAAAATTTTAATTCAAGTAGTAATATTAATGTTTGGTAAGACATAAAGTATTCTATTTTTAAAACAAGTAGTAGAGAACAATTTTGGTCAGATTTTTTTTTTTGAGAAATAAAAAAATCAGTAGTAACTATCTTATTTGGTAAGCCATGAGAAAAAATTAAAAAATACGTGTATTTTACTCCATATTCCTTCTGTTTTTCTTCGATATCAATCTCTTAAGTTAACCTCCAATTTTTTTTTTATTTTCTATATTATTCAATTATGCTTATGTAATTTTAAGTAGATTTCATTTTTAATTTTTTTTTAATGTCCTTTGATAGTTTTTATCGTAAGCTTGTTACTTAATGCAAATTAAATCTATTATTAACTTTACTACTTTTTACTTGTTTTCAAATTTAAAAAGTTTTTTTTTTTTGAATAATAATTAGTTCACTTTATTTAACTTTTATCTAATATTTCTATTTTACTCATTTTTCAAATCGAAATTATTACTTTGTCAAATTTTACAATTTTTTTATACTTTCTTTTTATAAATAAAAATTAGTTATTTTTAAATCAGTCTCATTTTTTTATTTGCACTTTAAAATTTTTATTGAACAGATTTATTTAAACCAAATTATTTGTTTATAATATTTGATTATTTTTTTTAGTTATTTTTCTCCTCAAGATTCGTTTTCTTTTTTATGTTCAATTACTTTTTTCTAGTTTTTTTTTGTATTTATTTTATTTTTTTATTTTTCATTTTTATTGGGCAAATATTTTAATCAAAATTATTATTTTCTCAATTTTGACAATATTCTGTTTATTTTCTTCTTTTTTACTAAAAAAAATAGTTTTTCTAATCAGTTACTTTTTAGTTGAACTTAATATTTTTTTGTACAAATTTTGTTTATATCTATAACAATTTGGCTGTTTTAGATTTGACTATAAGAATAAATTTAAATACAAATTAACTTTTATTACTTTGTTTAATTACTTCTTTTCACTAAAAATAAGTATTTTTTTTTAAAAAATCATTTTCTTTTTTAGTATTAGTTACAAATTTTTATTCAATATTTTTTGTGAAAATTATTACTGTGTTTCAATATTTAACTATTTTGTTGAGGCCTCACTTTTTTTAAAACTATTTTTCTATTTTTTTACAAAAAAAGTAGAAATTCCTGGTTTAAAATTTATTTCTCTTATCATAAAATCAGTTATTATTTTCAGTTGCTGCTTGAAGAAAGAAAAATCAGGAAAGATTTTAATACCAATTTAGTCACTTTTTTTTATATATTTAGTTAGTTATTTTTCAGATTACATTTTCTTTCTATTTCAAAATGCATTTTTCAATAAACATCTTTATTGTGTAAATTCTTTTAATCTGAATTATTATTTCGAAAAAGTATTAAAAAAAAAAAATTTGCAATGTATGAAAGTGTGGGAATTTGAATCTGAGGGATGGAAGGATTAATAACATCTGCATAAAGAGAAGGATCAAACATTCATAGATTACCCTCGAGCTCTGTAAGAGTTTTGTTTACTTTATCAAAAGTTCCCAGAGTAAATACACCACATAACGGATGCTATTATATGTTCTGAATACCACTTTTTTTAATATTGTCTTTAAAAAAAAAATTTGACAAAATAATTTGAATTTTTTTTTTAAATCATCAGATCTTTTTTTTCTTTTTATTTAATTAACTATTTTTATATATTCATTTACTAAATTACTACAAATTAAATTATATCAAAATAATTCAAACTTTTTTAAAACTCGCCAGAATTTTTATTTGTATTTATTTAATTAAATATTTTTATATTTATTTATTAATTTAATTAAAATGAAATTTAATCAAAATAATTCGAATTTTTTTTTAAATTAAATTTTTTTTATAGAGAATTTTTAACTAAAAGTCAATTTTCAATTAATATATAATTTAAATACATATTAAATTTTTAACTTTTTGCTATTAAATTTTTCTTTATTTTCAATTATTATAATTCAAATTAAGGAAGCAATCAATTTTCTATAACTAAAATAAATAAATTATATTAAATACTTTTGTTTACGAAACAAATTTTCCACCAGTAAAAAGATTAAAATTTTCCACATTATTTTGAATAAGAGAAATTAAAATTTTTAAAAATGGAAAAAAAACTAAAAAAAGTAAAAAACCAAAGAGAACTGCAGAAATTTATGAAAAATACTAAGAGAGAAAATGATTTTTGTTCTAAAATTCCTCCGATATTGATAAATCTTGGAAAATATGTTAAAATTATTTTGAATGCAAAAGAAGGTAACATACTGAGCCACAAATACGCATATTTCAAAATGCATATTTTACATTCCATGTCTGGTTGAAATATATGTCAAGGAGAATATTTCCCTGGTATTAAAATCTCACAAATTGAAAAGTGGGATAATGTCTTTGCGTCTTGCATGAGAAAAAAAATATACTTTTTATTTAAAAAAATAAGTATTATAAATTTAAAAAAAAAAGAAAACAATTTTTTTACTATCCAATTTTTTCTTATATTACACAGAATTGACAACTACACGTAGATTATTTATAATCGCTCGTATTTAATCTTTGGTAGCGAATTGAAATTAAATTAGATGGGGAAATATAACGATTCGAGAGTCAGCAGAAATTTATTCACCGGAAATTCAATTCTTATCTGGTCCTGCAATTACTATTATGCCAAGCAACAAAGGTTAAACCCATCTATCTCCGTTTCGTGAATCCAGTTGACAATGAAGGGAAGTTCTCGACAGTTGCAAATTAATTGCGCAAAGTCGCTGCGCGAGTTTATTGCTATTAGTACAACAATTATTGGAAATTAAATTCTTTTTCCCCGTCGCTTGAATTTTTCTTTTATGTCCTCCCTTGTTGTTCGATTAGTATACAATATTGTCTTATTCTATTCTAATATAATTGAATCAAATTTTATGTTTGAAATTTTCTTTTATATTTATTCTTTATTACTGTTTATTATTATTATTATTATTATTATTATTATTATTATTATTATTATTATTATTATTATTATTATTATTATTTTAATTATTATTACTTTTTGTTTTTATTTTTATTCTCTTACCTGTTCTTTTGAACTGATTTTTTTCATTTCTATACATACAATGTTGGTAAATTTTAATTATGTCTTCCAGGAGACGAAAACATGTTTATGTTGAAAGGTAAAAATAGAAAAGCAGGACGAGAAAAAAAAAGTTATAAATCGTTGGAAGGATTTTTATAAACATGAAGTGATTTTCACTGTGGAAGGAACTTTTGAAAATCAGAGAATATGAAATATACAGACAGTTGTGAGGGATTCCCAGGAGTTTTCTTGAGATATTTCTCTGTGAATTTTTGAAAAATTTCCATGACCTTGTTTACGTATTACTATATTGAGGAAATATTTTGCGTTAAAAATTCGAAAAATGGAAAATTTCTATAATTTTCTTTGATCTCTTTTTCACTGGAATTGAATAATAAGAAATTGACTATTACTGACAGTTAATCTCTCTTTTTCACTCAGGAAAATTTGTTCTGAAATTAAGATGAAAATTTCCCTTTGAAATTTAATCTGAAAATCCTTTAATTTTTAAATTTAATTTAAAATTGTTTATAATCAGGATTGCCAAAGGTATTAATAAAATTCCTGGCAAAATTTCAATTATTTTCAAAAAAATGCTTCAATTCAATGATTCTTAATATCTAATATTTTAATAAAATTTTCCAAAAGAATTCAATTATTCAAAAAAATTTAATAAAATTCTACGCAAACATTTAATCATTTTCATAAATAAAAAAAATTTCACAGGATTTTAATTATTTACAAATTTTTTATACATTTCTTCCCAATAATTCAATTATTTTCAAAAATAATAACATTTTTTACAGGCATTCAATTATTTTCATAAATAATAAAACTCATCCCAGAATTCCAATTATTTTTAATACAATTTGAATCAAAATTTGTCGAAAGAATTAAATTATTTTCACAAATTTTAATAGAATTCTTGACAAAACTACGAAAAAAAATTACAATTATTTTAAGAAATTTTCCTCAATTCAATGATTTTCAATATATATAATATTTTAATAAAATTTTTATAGAAGAATTTAATTATTACCAAAAAAAATTTAATAAAATACTGTGCAACCATTTAATTATTTACATAAATAATAAAAATTTCACAGGATTTCAATTATTTAAAAATTTATTATAAATTTCTTCGTATTAATTCAATTATTTTAAATTTTTAATAAATAATAAAGTTTTGACAGGAATTCAATTATTTTCGTAAATAATAAAACTCATTTGCAGAGTTTCAATTATTTTTAAAACAATTTTAATCGAATTTAAAAATATGTTCATAAAATAGAATTTAATTTTAGGAAACATTCAATTACTAAATAAATTATTTATTTTTGCATTTAAATAATTTAATTCTAATAGAATTATCTAATAAAAATTTATTTAAAAATTAATTTCAGTTAACCGTTGAGATTATAATTGAATAATAAAAGAATTGCAGTGTGAAGTTTTAAAAATAATTGAATTTTTAAAAGGTTTCAAATTCAAATCTTTGAAAATCTTAATTTTTCATATTTTTAACAAACAATTCTGTGGAATTAATTTTTTTGAAAAAGTTTAACATTCCGAATTTTTTTTTTGAAAATATTTGAAGTTTTTTATTTTCTAATATATATTTAATTGGAGAATTTCCAAATAATTGAAATTTTGTAAAATTGAATTGTAAACAAATAAATTTCAAATTCTCAAAGCACTTTTTCAAAAATTATTAAAATAAAAATAATAGATTTCTGGAAAAATTTTAGTTAAAGGCACTAAAAGAAAACTGAATTTTGGAGAAGTTACAAATTATTGCAGAAATCGAATTATTTTCAAAAATTTTAATAAAATTCTTTGCAAAATTTTAATTATATTTTCAGAAATTTTTCTCAATATAGATATTTACAATTTTAATAAAATTTTCCAAATGAATTCAATTATTTTAAAAAAATTTCAATTATTTTTCATAAATAACAAAATTATTCTCAGGAATTAAATTTTTTTCAATACAATTTTCAATGAATTGCTCGAAAAATGTAATTATTCTTAAAATTTTTTTTCAAAATTCGTCGAAAGAATTCAATTATTTAAAAATTTGTTGATAAAATTTTTTATGAGAATTCAATAAGAAACATTCAATTATTCAATGAATTATTTATTTTTGTATTTAGGTTAATAAATTGAATTTTGTAGAATTTGCAAATAAGAATTATTTAAAAACGAATTTCAATTAAAATTTTAGATAACTGAATATTAAGTGCATTACCTATATCATGAATTATTTCAGAAATAATTGATTTTTAAAAAGGTTTCAAATTAAAATTTTTAAAAATCTGAATTTGTTCATTCCTTTAACTAACATTTTTGTAAAATTAATTTTTTAGAAAATCGAAATTTTTTAAAACAATTATTTGAAGTTTTTGTCTTCTAATGTATATTTTATTAAAGAATTTACGAAGAATTCAAATTTTGAAAAAAATTGAATTTTAAACAAATGGATTTGAAAATTCGCAAAGAACCTTTACAAAAATTATTAATAAATAATTGATTTAAAGAAGAATTTTAGTTAAAAATTATTGTAAAAAATAATAATTGATGGAAATAATTACTCAGATAAAAAGTTAAAATTTTGTCTCTAAATCAGTCAAAAATCAGGGAAAAACAAAATTACTTTTTTCTATCAAAATCTTGATAATTTCTCGATTTTTTGTCTAAATGGAAAACTAACAAAATTTAAGTTTAAATTAAAAAAAAAAAAGAAAATGTTGACAAAAACAAAATTATTTTTTAGACTTGTATTATTTTCTTGTTGTAAAAAATTTATTTTAAATCAAAAAATATTTATTCTTCTTTTTCACTATTAACCTAATAGTATCAAAATGCAACGAATTGATCACAAAAATGTGTATCAAATCAAAAATTCATTTAAATTTTTCTCATCAATTTGATCCACTTTAGTGTCATAATTTAAGACTTTTAAGAAAATTAATAATTCGTTTTGAAGTGGTGAGAAATAGAGAAGGAGAGAGAGTGAGAGAGGGGGGAGGGGGGGGGGGGTTCTTAGCGCGCATGAAAAGTTTGAGTTCGGATACCATTCAGCATCGTGAGGGAGGTCAATGTAATTAATTTATGTAGACTATAGTAAACTACAAGACGCGCCAATAACATCGAGTCAGTCAAGTTTAAAGGACTTGCTTACAATGGTGACGACAATGAGGATCAAGAACAAAGCAGCAAGCGCAAGATCAGACCAGGAGGGTAGGTACTCGGTTTCTAGGTTTCGTAACTCCTCTCCAGCCGATTGATTCCATCGTTGCTCATCCGTGTAGCCTACGCTCTCGTTCACCATTATGCTTGTCCTCCGTCAGTGCACTATGATTTCTATCCATTCGTGCAAGATGTTTTGATCCTCAACGAGGCGATAAATCACATTTTCTGTCAATCCACCGCTTTGCCGAACAACTTGATTCTTGTAGTGCGCCTAGAAAACAGGGAAAAAAAAGAATTTTCCGTTAATTTTCTTTTTTCAATTTATTCACTTTATTTCTGGGCTCGAACCAGTCAAAGTATTTAAAAATACTGACTTTAAAAATTACGGACCAATTGGTCTGTAATTTTTAATTTAAAAAAAATATATAACCAGTCCGAGTCAAATGAGAGAATATTTTACTTAAAACTATAAATTCAATTTTTCATAAACTTAATAACTAAAAAAAGTAGTAAAAAAGTAGCTATCGAAAAATTAAACTTTACAACAAACAAAACTCGTTTTAGACACTTCACAAAACTGACAAAAATTCCATTCTATATTTTATTTTCCTAACTTTTTCCTAATTTTCATCAAAAATATTTACTTCTTTCTTATTCTGCTAATAAATTGAATTCATACAACCAATTTTATTATTCATTAAAGAATTTAAATATTTATAAAAATAATTTAATTCTTGCGAAGAATTTTATAAAAATTTTTAAATAATTGATTTCTGACTAATTTTATGTAGATTCTAATTTAAATAATTGAATTCCTGCGAAATTTATATTATTCATGAAAATAATTTCATTCTAATGAAGATTTTTACAACAAATTTTTTAAATAATTGAATTCTGTTTAGATATTTTTCGAAAATAGTAAATATTGAAAATCATTGAATTGCGAAAACTTATCAAAAATAATTAAATTTTACAAAGAATTACATTAAAATTTTTTGCAATAATTAAATGTCTGTGTGGTATTTAATTAAATTTTTTTTGAAAATAATTGAATTCCTAAAAAGCATTTTATTATTTATGAAAATAATTGAATTTTGCAAAGAATTTTATTAAATTTTATTAATATAATTGAATTTCCAAGAAGAAATTTATTACTATTAAATGTAATATTAAATTCTTGTGATGAATATTGTTATTAATGAAAATAATTGAATTTTGCAAAGAATTTTGTTAAATTGCCTCAAAATAATTGAATTTTCGGAATAATAAATTTTAGTATTTCTCTTTAATAATTGAATTCTTTCGAAGAATTATTTATGTAAATAATTGAATTCTTGGGAAGAATCATTTATGCAAATAATTGAATTCTTGAGAAGAATTATTTATGCAAACAATTGAATTCTTGGGAAGAATTTTATTAAAATCTAAAAGAATAATTGATTTGTTTCAAAAAAATTTAATTGAAATTGTATTTAAAATAATTGATTGAATATTTTTATTAAAATATTTTAAATCAATGTGAAAAATTTTAATATTTTTTTTGTAAATAATTAAATTTTTCCAAAGAATTTAAAAAAAACATTTTTTAAATAATTGATTTTTTCGATGGAATTGAAATTAAATTTTTAAGAATAATTCCATTTTTCAGCAATTCCTGTAAAATTGTATTAAAAATAATTATAATAATTATAGATGACCGAGTGATAAAATCCTTATCAATTCAATTATTATTTTCAAAAATTTTTAACTAAAATTCTTCTTTAAATCGATTATCTATATCAATAATCGTTGTATTCCAGTAATTTGTTTGCAATTTGAAGTTATAGTTGTTGCTTGCTTTTTTGTTTCCTAACTTTTTAATTATTTTTTCCTTTAAAATATTTTCAATTTTAAAATTAATGTATTAAAAATCATTGAATTATTCGCAAAGAATTTTATCAAAAATTTCGAATAATTGAATTCCTTCGCAGAATTTTATTATTATTTATCCGCAATATTAAACTTTTTCAAAAATATTAATTCCACAGAATTGTTAGGCAAAAATATGAAAAATTCAGATTTTCAAAGATTTTCATTTGAAATCTTTTCAAAATTCAATTATTTCTAAAAATTCACACTGCAATTTTTTTAATATTCATTTATAATTTAAAATGTTAAGTAAAATTAATTTTTAAATCAATTTTTATTAAAAAAAATTCTACTAGAATTCAGTTATTTAAAAATTAAATTCCAAAAATAAATAATTTACTTAGTAATTGAATGTTTCCTAAAATTCAATTCTATTAAAGAGTTTTATGAATAGATTTTCAAATAATTGAATTCTTTTGACGAATTTCAATTAAATTTTTAAGAATAATAACATTTTTCGAGAAATTCGATAAAAATTTTTTTTAAAAATAATTGAAATTCTGCTATGAATTTTATTATTTATGAAAATAATTGAATTTTTAAGAAGAATTTTATTGTTTATGAAAATAATTGAATTTTCGCGAAAAATTTTATTAAAATTTAAAAAAATTCTAATTAAATTCTTTTTAAGAATTTCTTTCAATTTTTTTAAAATAATGAAGTTTCTTTAATAATTTTAATTGAAAATTTTGAAAGTAATTGAATTTTATGAAAAATTACAATTTTCTAAAATAATTTAATTCATTCAAGTAATTTTATTAAAAAATAGAAAATAATTTAATTCTTTCGATAAATAGATAGTAGGTATTAAAGGTTTTGACAATAATTGAATTCTTTCAAAAAATTTCTTTAATTATTGAATATAATCGATTTTCTTAATAATAATTGAATTCTCTAAATTTAAATTAGTAAAAATGTTTACTTATTAGAATTAGTGACTGACTTTTTGCTTTCGAATTAGTAAATTTTACTAATAAATAGTTCTTTCCACTAATTTTTTAATAAAATTTACTAATTTAAAAGCAAAAAGTCAGTTTTTAATTCAAATTAGTAAAGATTTTTACTAATTTAAATTTAGAGAGTAATTAATAATTTTACTATTAAAATTTTATTAAAATTATTTATAGAAAATTTAACTCTTTTAAACAATTTTATTAGAGTTTTTGTAAATAATTAAATCCTTTTGATGAATTTCTGTGTGCTTTTTCTTTAATAATGCAGTTTTTTGAATAATTTTAATTGAAAATTTTTTAAAATAGTTGAATTTAACAAAGAATTTTTTTAACTTTTTAAAATAATCGTGTCTGTTAGTAATTATAATGAAATATTTGATTTTTTAAGTTTATTAAAATTGTTTTTAAAATAATTAGAATCCTCCGAAGAATTTTATTATTAATGAAAATAATTTAAATTTTCCAAAGAATTAACTTTTTTATGAAGATAATTGAATTCTTGCGAATTTTATTTTTTATGAAGATAATTGAATTTTTAGGAAGAATTTTATTAAAATTTTTGAAAATAATTGAATTCTTCAAAAGAATTTTACTTTTTATGAAGATAATTGAATTTTTAGGAAGATTTTTTAGAAATTTTAGAGAATAATTGAACTTTTTTGGAAAATTTTATTGATAATAATTGAATTTTTACAAAGATTTTACCTACTATTTTAAAAAAATCATTGAATTGTTTCGAAGAATTTATTAAAATTTTGTTGAAAACAATTGAATTTTTTGAAAAAATTTATTATTTTTAAAAATAACTGATTTCTTCCGAAGAATGTTATTATTTATTGCTTTTAATATTCAATTATTATCTAAAATTTGAATTGAAATGAAATTCATTTTTAAATCAATTTTATTAGATTATTCTACCAGAATTCAAGTATTTAAATACAAAAATAAACAATTTATTGAATTTTAAAATGTTTCTTAAAATTCAATTCTCATAAAGAATTTTATTAACAAATTTTTAAGTATAATTAAATTCTGTGGACGAATTTTAATAAAATTTTTAAGAAGAATTAAATTTTTCAAGGAATTTATTTAAAATTGTATTAAAAAAATTTAATTTCTGAGAATAATTTTGTTATTTATGAAAAATAATTGAATTCTTGCGAAAAATTTTATAATTCCACAGAATTTTTAGTCAAAAATATGAAAAATTTAGATTTTAAAAGATTTTAAATTTGAAACCTTCTCAAAATTCAATTATTTCTAAAAATTCACACTGTAATTCTTTTAATATTCAATTATAATGTAAAAGGTTAACTGAAATTCATTTTAAAATCAATTTTTATTAGAAAATTCTACTAGAATTCAATAATTGAAATGCAAAAATAAACAATTTATTTAGTAATTGAATATTTCCTAAAATTCAATTCTATTAAAGAATTTTATGAACAAATTTTTAAATAATCGAATTCTTTTGACGAATTTGAATTAAATGTTGAAGAATAATAATATTTTTCGAGGAATTCGATTACAATTTTTTTAAAAATAAGTGAAATTTTTTCTTCTGCTTTATAGTCGTTCTTTTAAAAAAATAAAAAAAAATTGGAGTAAAAACGCTTGAAAAATTTTTTTTTAATAAAATGCAATACTCGTTTCTATCCAATAAGAGAAGCTTAACTTTATCTTTATTAAAGTTACATATATATAGGATGTACATGTCAAAAGTCAAGAGCTTTTTTTGAATGGTTTCATTAGAAAAAATTTTCAACTTTTGTGGCATTCAATTGGATGTTTTCTGAATGAAGAATTCAGAAAGAAGATTCTACTGTTGCAATGCATCTCTTTCACAAAAGACCGCGAATGTAATGTCGATACTCAGTCACGAGAAATGATCAGAAAATTTATGTTTTCTTTTTCAATGTCATCGTTTCTTTTCTGTAAATCCTTTTTTCAATCGGATCTTGTCAAAACCCGCAAATGGAATATAAATTAAATTCAAAAATATCTATAATTTACTTTTACATTTAGAGTTGGGATTATTTAATAAATAAATAAATATTTGCACAAATTTTTAATTTATTCTTATTTATTTTTATTTATTTAAAAGGATTTAATTATTTATTTTTTATTTAATTATTTATTTGTTTCATTCATATTTATTTTTTCATTTATTAATAATTGATATTTATATAAACCCGAGTAAATAAATATATTATTGGTTTTTGTTTCTACATACGAGTGGAATGAGAAAAAGATATTTTTTTCCAGTTATTTTTCAGACAAAACAGTTTGTTATCAATTTTGGTGGATATATTTTTTTTGTTTGCGCATATATAGATAAATATATTTTTGGGGCAATAAATTTTCGACTAAGAATTGTCATTGAATTTAATGAAAAAAGAAAAAAAGAAAA